AGCAATTTTTTCGCAAAAGTGAATGATAAAAACATGAACTAGTTGGAGAAAAACAAATGAGGGGCAGGATCCGGCAGTAATGTTTTTTTTACTAAAACAGCAACACATTTAAACATGAAACCTATTATCAGAATCTAAAAGGCCAAGAGAAATTGCAAATTGAGACATTTGTTTAAACCAAGGGAAAAGTTTAACATCGAAATTTCAAATCGCGGGGAAGTCTTAAATAGGCATCATCCTTGAGCATCTCATAATGATGCTGATCATAAACTTTTCAGAAGTCATCATCATCCTCTTCAGCTATGTGTTGAGCAAGCTCTTGTTCTTGCTGTTGTCTCTCTCTCCTCTTCTCAGCACTTTCTTTCTCCTTGTGGGAGTTTGGAGGAAATCGAAGAGCACGGACAGCCTCATTATGCATGTTAAGACAGAAAGCAATTCTCGAGTTGAAAGCAATTTGAGGCTCATTTGTGGAGTAAATATCTCCAGTTTCCTTTGAAACCATCCATCCATTAGCATGATCCAACGTGGCATCAATTGCACCATCTCGAATTGCTTTGGACACAATACTCTCAGCATCAGCAACAGGGTTTGGAGAATCCAGCCTCAGCTTTTTAGCAACATCAGTCAGTGAGATCCGAGAATATGAGATGCTGATGTTGCGTAGCCCAGTCCTAATGACATTATGCCGAAGTCGCACAATCAAATTGTTGGTTCGATCTGAACCGAAAGTGCTGGAGAACTTCTCAGCAACATTCCTAAATAACTCCAGATCTCCTATGCGAACAGCCTGAAAACCAACAATATTCATCCATATAATTCAGGATTTGATAGGGGATCAATGAAAAAGGACCCAATGAGGAGGAGGAATGTCGTCCTAAGCAGGATTCTTTATGAATCACCTGTTGTCACCCCCACCCCTTATGACACATGAAACATAAGATTCTTCAAAGAAAAAGCAAACAAAAAGAGACCAGTCAACTTCTCCACACCAGAGATCTCACGACACATCACACACACGTCTTTATCATATTAGCCAATTAAATGGGATCTCATATAAAAAATATGCTTTAATTTGGACTTGACTCATGCTATAAACAATGCATCAATGATACTCCACAACACTCTGCAATATGCTACATGTTGTTAGAGATATCTAGTCACATCCACGTACACCTGGGTTTTGCTTCTATGCAGAGAGGCAAAATAGATATCACTCCAAATATGTGATGTAATAACCCAAAGAAATCTTGAGCTACCCTTTTTCCAAGATGAAATCCAAGAAAGTCAACTTTGATACTTAAGATCTAATAATATGACCCACAAAAACAAACTTTAGAAGTTTAATAGCGTCATACGCACATTTGTCAGCTCAAAGTATGGCCTTAGTGCTTTCTCCATTCCTTTCTGCATAAAAACAGTCCTTTCTGGAATCTCTCCAAGCAATAACCGGACAATAATAGCCCACTTATTGCATTGAACTCGGAAACCAAGAGCAGCCTGAGGAGCTTTGCGAGCAGCTTGAAGAAGAGATTCTTTAGCATCAGTGTACTCCAACTGGATTGTTCTGATCTTTCCAAGGTAAAAGAGGTATCGGCAGAACTGAAGGATACGAGAAAGAAGGGAAGTTAGCAAAGGAGGATCAATTTGGAAGAACAAACATTTTAGACATTCTTTTGATGAAGTTTTTTAGACAAATTCTTAGAAAAAATTACAGCAATAAAAATTGAAAAGAGCAAGTGAACTAATCAATAACTGCTAAAATCAGGTTGAGTTACCACTAAAATCAAGCCGCCTCAAAAGTTGAAGGAGGAACAAATAGTAAGAACAAACATCTTAGCCAAATTCTTTGAGCAAATTACAACAATAAAAAATGAAAAGACCAAGTGGACTAGTCAATAACTACTCAAATCAAGTTAAGCTACCACTAAAATCAAGCCACCTCAAGAGTTAAGAAGTTGGCATAAATCCTTGCACTGATATCAATCTAGAATAAGCATTCCCAAACATACAGCAGTTATCATTAAATTATAAACCTAACACCATGGTGGATCAAGTATCAATAATGAGAAGGATATCTAAGAAAAACCTATCATGGATCTTAAAAACAGATGAACTCTAAGAGGACGGGAATTGTGTGGAAAATTGCCTGCTGATTCGAATGAGCTTCAAAATGGGGGGCCTTTGACCTCAATTTCTCTGCTTGATCGTACAAGTTGTAGTGAAGATAATTCCGCAATAGCAGATTAAGAAGTGTTTCCTGCACCCATAATCATTCTATCAGTACAAAACATCATATCTAGAAAACAAAGAGGCACCCAAAGCTCCAAAATATTAACGAACCTGACCCAACTCATCACGGCGTAATGTTGCAATACGGTGCAATGCGAGGAGATTACTGTTGGTAAATTATAAGTTCAATCAGAGACAATAAAAAAAGTCAAAATGGAGGCATATGGGAGATGGGAGTTAGCTCAGTACTCTCTCTTCCCCACTGTCTCATTTGGAAAACCTGTTCACATGACATGGCAGAGATGTTACATGAGAGCTTGAACAATTTAGAACTGAGACTCACCCTCGAATTTCGGCAAGATCACCAGTAAGTTCATAACACAGAGAGTAGTAGAAATAAAGCCTAGATGCTAATACATCAACAGTCCTCCTGTTCACAGTTTTTAGACGAGCAATGCTTGCTGAGGAGCATGCCTTGGCCTGAAAGTAAGACCAGGAAATTTTGTAATTCCATGAAAGCAACAACTTAACATGAAAAAAGGCAATATGAAATAGAACATGTAACTTCATCCCACCTCATCGTATTTCTTCTGATCGATTAAGAATATCAAAACAAGCAAGTAGCAATAGATCTCAAGCTCTGGCAAAGGATGCTTGACTGGTGCCGGAGTTCCGGATGGTGCACTATCAACTTCCATATCATGTTCATCTTCCTGTAAGAAAGAAAAAAATTAAAGCAAATAATCAATAGGTAACCAACATCACATAAACCACTCTACCATCTCCAAAATGTTCCCATCAGAACCTCATTTACTGTTTCACCTGCTGCGAAGTAGAAATATCAAAAGTTTCCAAACCCATGTGAAAGTTAAGTGCATACAATTGTTCCACCAACCTCCAGACAAATTTCAAGCCATGCTCCACAAGTCCTGAAGTGATTTTGTTGCATAGGGGATAAGCAAAAACTACTACTAATTCTAGTTCTCAATCCCAAACTAGTTAGTGTCGGCTATATGATACCTCAATAATTATTTTTCTTAAAATGAAGCAGTTTCATTCAATACCTAATAATTTGGGTTTCTTTTCTTTTCACTTTTATGACAAGTCCAATAATTTGGGATATTATACAACATTGAACTCCTAGACTGGAAAAAACAGATCAGAGAATGCAAAACATGGTCAGAAGGACCAAACCTGTTAGTACCCACATAATTGCATTACCTTGGTTAGCTCAGAGTTTAGAGGAGATAAGTCTACTGATACTTTAGTTATTTACACACCAAATGGTGGCTTATTCATGATCTCAAGATATCTTAAGCTTCAAGGCTTATGCCCCCAAAAGTACATAATGCTTAAAGATAGTACGCATAGAGAAGACATATCGTTCACATTTAAGCGAGGTAAATCTAGCATTATAATCTTATCATATGCTTTCATTTACAAACAGTGCCATTTTTAACTCTCTGGAAGTATCAAAAGATTACCTTGGGTAGGAAGGAAGATAGCCGGGAATGCACGTCTGATCCAGGCACTAGAACATAATTGAGGAAAGCACCTAGTGAAGAAGCCTTTAGCTTCTTCCTCAGTACCATAGTCAGCCTCACAGCTCTCGAAATCCTCCTGACCTCACGAGCATATGCCCCAGTCTCAATCAACGATGCAATCTCCTTCAAATCTGAGTAAACACCCAAAAAAGCTAAATAAACCCTACATTGGATGATCTTACTTGAGAAACCACACTCAGATCTATCAAATTGAACCCCCAGATATTTCCGCCCAAAAATACCCTAACACCGAAAATAGAAAAAAGACCCAAAACCCTAAAAGCTGATCCATCAAATCCAAAAACCAGAAATTTCCAGTCAAAATAAGATAAAAACAGTAAGTTAGATCGATAAAGGAGAGATGGATTGAACTTACGGGGCAAGACAGAAGGGTCAGGAGATGAAAGGGATTTGGAAGGAAGTGCTTGGTCCGCCATCTCCACATCTTGAGTCATCTTTCTTGTTTCTTGGAGAAGAAATCTGAAACTGAAGAATGTTCAATTCAGCGAGTCGATGCTCTGATAAACCTCACACACTGCAAAGTGCAAACCCTCTTTTTGACTATTTTGCCCTCTTTTTATTTTGGTTTTAACTCTATTTCTTGCTCCTTACGTTAGATTGTGTCTACTGAGGTTAAATAAAATAAAAATCCGATACATATTACTTACTGTATCTGTTGTTTTAAAATATTTTTAGTGGACATAAATCACTGCAATTAAATTAGAATTTATCCTACTAAGGTTTGATTTTTTGTACCAAATTAAATTTTGAAAATACTAAATTGGACATAAAAGACGATATCGGGTTTGCCTAACCAATAGTCATGTGAGATATTTACTTATGTGTGAACAATAATAATAGTAAGAATTCTCCAAGCATATTATAGCTAATTGATCTAATTAAATCAACCAAGATAATATTAACAATGTCTTTAACTGACTTATAACGCCAAGTTCATTATGTTAGAGCTTGGGAATAGAAATCTCTATCCTCGATTTCTCTAAAAGCTAATATGTGAATATTGAATAAATTATGAAAACCTTATCAAAAGGAGTACTTAAAATAGAATTAATATGAATGGGTTATAAGAAAATTTATTCTGAATCATGTATTGAGATAAAAATACTTTTATTTTCTTTATCGGAGGGCAGCATTAAGAGGGAAACTACAAGTAATACACAGCTATTTTGAAACAGAGGAACTATTGTTTCAGTGCTCTCCAACAACAATAAGATGTTAACGTATTGAATTACAAACAAATTGATGGGGAGACTGACAGGCTCTAGCCATGCACCACCAGTTTCGAGACTAGAATATTCAATAGAATGAATGTCGTACCAGACACTTCTGACTATCAAGATCGACTGAATGAGGGTGTGGCTGACATGGTAAAACAGAAAATCAGCCTAAGATGTACTGTATATCAGATGCATCCCTCAATATAAAATGTGTATATCAGATTATTTGCTCTGCTCAAAATGTAGAAACAAAATTTGGATCATTTCTGCAGCTTAGCGTTGAGTTTCCGAGTTGTGGTTAGGCTTCATGTTTGCGCTGTCACCAAAGATCGGGTATTTCCCTTGACCATCCCTCCTACTAAGATCAGGTCTTCTAGCTTCAGCATTAGCCATAGGTAAACCTCTAGGATCTGAACCACTAGAGTTCCTTCCAGAATTAAACTGCTCACTTTTCTTGTACCTATTCTCTGTGGCAACGTTGTTCTCCTTGCCTGGGTTCCTGTCTGCTTGTGGAGAGCTAAAAATACCAAAACCAGAGGATGGAGAACTTCGACCACTAGACTGAGAAGGATGTTGCTCAGGAAACTTCCTCGGGAACTGAGATCCAACGTCTCTAGTGTGTGACAAAGTATTCCGGTCCAATGGTAGTTGCCTTCCTAGATCAGATACGGTGTCCGCCATCTTTGTACTCCTCAAACTTGGGTCTCTTTTATACCTATTTTCTTCCCCTGACGGACCCTGCAATGTGTTTCCTGATTCTCTTCTGAAACTACTTTGCAGATCTGAAGAAACATTTGCAGAACCTAGTGTTTTAGCACCCTTCTTTGCACTCTCTGCAAGATCGAAAACCTTGTCACAATCACCATTTGCACTGGAGATTCTCCAACCTGATCTGGCGTTATCAACATCTTCATCAGTCATTGCTTCCACACAGCTATCATCGTCACTTTCAATACTAGATTCAGAAGTATCACAATTTTGCTTCGATTCTGAAAAACTTTCAGGTGCTACTGATGCTGATTCGTTAGAATCCTCCGCAGAGATGGCAGTCCTGTATTCTTTTGATGGTTTCTTTGCCGAGCCTTTCTTTGATGGACCAAACTTAACATGCCTGACAACAATATATGCCTGCTTTTTCTCCACTCTTGGTCCACTTTCAATACAAGCAACATCTTCAATCTAAAGAAAACAACACCCACCCATGCACAGCACAAAATAATAAAACACCAATTAGCGATAGCTTCGCACAGGATGCTATAAACAGAATAGCAGTATATCATACCAGAGGAGAGAAACGTGATAGCACTGCTCCCAAATCCTCTCCTTCATTACCCATGGACATGGCAGTACACTGTTCAGGAACACAAAAGATCATAATTGATTAATGGAGAACCAAATATACATTATCTTGAAATCAACATTATCTGCTTTAGGAAAAACATTGCAGACAATAAATCCTCAAGAATCAAGGTCACATTTAAATAAGCATGCTCTTGCTGCCAAAATACCCTGTCCAAAACTGGTTTAGATTTCTCAGAAAGTACCAAATGCAATTTTATTGAACTTCTCGAAGCCAAGCTTCAGGTAAACAGCAAAAGACCCACATCCAGGTTGCTTATTATGCACCCTAGTTTTCCAAACATGCATGCAACAGCGGACTGGCTCAGCTCCATAATGATCGTCACAGAAGATATCATATAGAAAAAAGTACTCCCTCTGTTCCTAAATACTTGTCATCCTTACTAAAATACTTAATAAATAGATAATCCACAATACTTGTTTGTTTCCACAGAATCAGTTGTTTGTTTCCAGCCTTACCCTTATAACTATGAATAGATACTAATATGGTACAAAAGGAAGAAGTATTAAATTGATAGGAATAATAGATAAGGATAATTTAGTTAAAATACCCTCTACTTAATGTTTTTCCTTAAGGAGTGTACAAAAAAAAAAACATGACATGAATTTTGGAACAGGAGGGTAATGAAAACCAACATCTACCTAACAGCAGCTTTAATATATTTCAGACCACTAAAGGGCTTGCTTAGCTGGAAGGAGATTGGGAGAAGAGGAAAAGAGGACTGGTGGGAACTGATCCCAGCATGCACTTGGTGGACTTTATGGAAGGAAAGGAATGTAAGATGCTACGAAGACAAGATAACAACATCCAGAAAATCAAGATGAATTGTCTTAGCTTACTCTACTTTTGGTGTAAACAGGATATGGTGAGGGATATAGAACTTTTTGTGGATTTTATAGGAGAACTGTAAAGAACCATGGTTTAGTGTTTCTACGCTTTTTGCATTGCCCAGAAGTGGTTTGTACCTGATTAGTCTCATCATTTTTGGGATGATGAGCCTGTTTTGTGAATATAAAGTTACCCTTCTCTAAAAAAAAAAAGATATATTTCAGAAAAATCCAAGAAACATATGCAAGTAGATCGAGTTAAACTCAGGAAAATTCAAATGCATGTATTGCCAAACCAGCCTGTCAACCTAAAAAGTATTAAATTCTTTAGACAAGCACAAAAAATGATGGTCTTCAAATTTCAATCTCTAAGTTAAGCAATTGATTACCTTCAAGCTTTAACCTCATCAATTAAATAAGATCTTCTACCTTTTGTGAGCCACTAAGAACATGTTGAAGCATGAGTTAAAATGAAGGCATGTTTTCCTCATTTGTCCTTTTTTATGAGTTAGATCATTCAAGAAGAGACCATTTTATGATTTTTGATAATCGACAAATCCTCGAGAGTCGGTGGAGCAAGTTTAGAAACTAGGTGGACAATGGGTCGCCCCTCTACACAGTACACACATCACATGTCGCACTCTTACTGCTACACCAAAGCCCTGGAAACCACCCCTCCCCCCACCCCCAAAAAAAAAAAAAAACCCCCTCTTTTGTTTGTAATTTTTTTCTTAAAACAGAAGATAACATGATGCAAAAGAAAGTTTTGAACATACATGCAGCCAAACAAGAAAACACAACACTTGGAGGTTTTTTTCCTCTGTGTGTTGGTTTTTAAATTTTTTTTGTTTTTTGTATTTTTTATTTTTTGGTATTTTAAAGGCTAAGCAAGTACCTTCACCCGATAGCCACGCTCCATCATCCGTTTAACTGTATCTGCTTTATTTTGCAAGTCCTTTTTTTCCTGCGTTATAGGAGAGAGAGAGATTCCACAATTAGTTTAAATGCATCATGACTGAGATCTCAGACACTCATGTGAGATTACATTGGATATGTTGTTTTGTTGTTGCATCGTAACTAAGAACTGCAGAATCTCAAACAATTTTTTATTTTTTTATAACAAAACCTCAAAACAATTTTCAATTATGTGTTGTGCTTCCATGGTTTTATATTCCTCAAAAGGTGGGTATCCTTTTTAAGTTTCTTCTACTCAAGTAATCAACTACCCAAAACCAATCAGCTTAGTCGTTAATTCAATAAGAAATACCAATTTTCTGTGCAGACTTTGACAAAAGTCTTAGGTCTATTGTAGTATAGTCATGCCCAAGGAACTGGTTCTGAAAAATCAAGATAGCTCAGGGGAATAGTATAAAGGGAGGATAACAAGCAAGAGACTTACAATTTTACCAACAAATCGGACTTCTTTACAATCCCCCTTCTTCAAAGTTAACTCAGACTGCAAATATATCAAGAAAAATCAAGTGTTAAAAATAACTAATTAAAACAGAGGCAAAGGGATTGCAAACCACTGCACAGTACCCCTTTACATCTGATTTTTATGCATGCCAGTTTTATCTAATTCTTGCTTATTATCTAAAGGCAAACAAAACACTGCCACAACATCGAAAAGGAAAAACCATTTATGCATAGGACATGCATGATTAAAATGCCTGCTTTTAATAAATATAAACATACATCAAGTATAAATATCATCATTAAAGATGCAGTAGCTGAACAAGCGGATCCAAGCTTCAATTCTTGAGGTCACATGACTTTAAGGAATTAGCTTGAACAAAAGAACGGAGGTAGCTTCATTGAACTCGACTCCATCAGACTTGTTCAAAATCGAGCTTCAACTAGACATGGTAGGTTTTTAAGCTTAAACAATTTTAACTTCACTACTAATACCAGATACATATGATGTTAAAGCTAATGGGTGAAACAGGTACAACATAAAACACCATTAACTGATGTTAGCAACACTGCAAAAACAAAGCATCGCAAACGGAGAACATGCCTTGCTTTTTTTAGCACTCTCCTTCATTTGTTGTTGATATTTTTCTTTGTGGTAGTCCATAATTCTGCAGACAGGTGGTTTGCTGTTCCGTGCCACCTGCAAAATCACAAAACCCAAGTTACAATACAGCATCTCAGATGGAACCACATATCATTAAATGGTTCTGCCTTATCGGGATAATCATATTTTACACCTATTAGACCCCTTCCCTTCTTTCTTCCCTGTTAATATTGGATTGAACATACAAGCAGAAGTGAAGAACGGAACAGAGAATTACAGAAAAATGGATCAGCAACGCTATTTATTCCCGATGATTAAGGTCCAGGCACATCTTTTGTCAAGAGAGATGGTAACATTAGAGAGATATTTCACATTCGAAGTATCTTCAATCTGGAATATAAAAACGAGCTCGCTTTTACAAACTTTCTTTTTCCTTATTTGACCTCCCATTCGGTATATAGCAAAGAATACTAATGGAAATTTGAGTACTATTTTTTTTGGACTGGTAACTTTGAAATTTTGATTAATTCACATTTTGCTTACTTGTCTTGCCCATATATAGGGAGAAGTATAGAACGTCCAGTAACAGAAGTAGGTAGGTCCTCCTTATCCTGATTTTGTAAGTTTCAGTAACCAAAGATGACGTACTTGATATTCAAACACCTCATCTTCACATATCAATATTACATCAAATTGGTTGTAAGACTACTCATTAAGGGCTTGTGTTAAAATAAGACTACCTTTTCAATATAATCTTCTCCTAGTAGCATCAAAGCCTATGCATTTCTTTCAACAACAATAAGTCCTCTGTTTTCTACAAACTGGACGTCTTTACACGCAAATCTTCTCTTAGAAATCATCTTATTCAGTCCATGAACAGATATCAGTCACATTTCACCAACGACCTATGTACACAAGGCCCCAAAATTGCAACAGAATCAAATTAATAGGAAATTTCAAATCATGGAGTTTTTAGTGTCTATTGCAGAAGTTGACATCAAAACAAAAAAAAAATCCACCAGATTGATAAAATCAGTTCTTTATGATTTTTCTTGTTAGCGCCATTTAATGGCATATTGAGCTCCTTTGACGTGAAACCAGAAATGCTAAGTAAGGAATTGAATAATACAACACATGAATTGAAGAGTGCAGAATTCAGGAAAGGGAAAAATGATCTAGGGACCAACTGTCCTATCAACAAGAAACGAGCAACATCAATTTGACAACTTGCTCAGTCATCACCATACCAAGGTAACAAGGTCTTCAACAAGAAAGTTTATTTTCCTCATTGTGTTTTCATGTTATAATAAGCACTAATTTGATGCTCGTGTTAGTTTATCCCAGTACGCTTTCCTATCAGTAGTATCACTCTTGTTACTGTACCAAGTCTCATGATTTGATTTTTAAATTAGTCTCATGATCGACACTTCTTTACCTCCACCAAATCAAGGTTGAGACTTCTCGCAAGTTCCAAAGCTTCACGTATTGACACTACGCGATGACCTGCAAAAATGCAAAGAATGAGACCTAAAGGAACAAAAACTTTATCATATAATAGTAATTAATACATCACTGAATTCTGAAATATGAGTATAACAGTTCGAACATTGCGAACTGCTTGACTGAAACCCAAAGTACTAAAGCTCCTTTATTATTTTCAAATGGAATTTAAGGCAGAGTAATACAAGAAAAGTGTACAATGAAAGGTCCATGAACACATTATGCATGTCTTTGGATTAGTAGGTCGCAGGGTTGTCAACAGAAGTCTAGGCAAAGCAAATATTTGCTGAGTTTTTTGTGCAGCTCAGAATTTTGAAATTTTTTTTTCTTTTGTAAATAGGTCAGAATTGATTTGCTACTCTGGATTTTAGACCCAATTCAATCTCTTTAATATTCAGCTTTACAGTTCAAATTTCAGATTCATATGATTACTGGTTTTGTGATTCGGAGAGTTCAGGAATAGAGGATCTCAAACTTGATGAATGGAGTCCTTAGTTTGGTCCAGAATTTCAAAAGCAACAATGCTTTGAATACTACATCTAATGCTTGTTATGTATTACAGTATACAACAATTTTGCAACACATTCTGATATTTTCTGTAACGCATAAAGATTGTTCAAATGTTCATTAAGCCTTCTGCACATGTTAACCCAGCACCAAACTCTTGTTGATATTTTGGTTCTCTGCTAAAATGCTTTGCTATGTTTTCAGCCAAGGCAATTAAGAAATAAAGCAACTAAAGTGTTCCTATTGAATCTGTTTCATCTAGCACAACAAACAAGTGGTCAAACGATTCAATCCTGATTAATTCACAATCACACGGAACTTCTTGTTCCGTTAAGCAACTGTAGTCAAAACATGCCAAAATGAGTATTCTAGATATGGATATGCCGGTAAAATATTCACACTCCAAAGAATTTTTTTTTTAAAATTAGCATTTTGAGTTTTCCCAAGAGACCTGTTTCTCGAGATTACATCCGGTATGACAACCGTATTGAAATTTGGAAATCAATTTCCACAAAACTCAAGTCTCTCTCAACATTAAGCACATATATACTGTAGTACAATACAATACTATGACGAACTTAGCGTCTTCCTTGATAAAAACTTCATAAAAAATCGACTTTCCTACAACAATGACAGAGAAAAAAGAAGAGCTGAAGTTCATTATAAAATCACCTTCGTCAAGTACAAGCCTAACAATATCCGCGGTGATCTCGCGATTCAATCTGGGACCACTTGTATCCTTCTCTTCCTTCCTCGTCTTCGCCTGCCAAACCAATTAAACTGATAACTACACGCAAATTCGCATGCGTATCGATTGACATAAAATAATAACATGATCTTGACTACTTAGGTACCTGTACAGGTGCAGCGAAACACCTGACACTTTGCGAAAGTTCGAACGGACTCTTCGGGATAGTTAAGCTGGAGTTACCGAAAACTCGGACTGAAGGATGTGAAGCACTGGCAATGAGCGAATTGGAACCATGAGGGCATTGGAAATAACACCTTTTCAAATGAATTGATAGGATCTTGATTTTGGAATTCTTCACTCTACACCAAAACGCCATTGTTGTACTTTCACGTACTCTCTAGCCCTAGTTCCAAAAAGTTGCCATGGGAGGGTGGAGAAATATTGCTCCAAAAGAAGAATCGGGTTATGCTGGAGGACCCGAAATGTTCTGAATTCAATTTTGGGCATTCCTTCCAAAAATCAATTTATCTGAATTCAATTTTGGGCTTCTAGTTGGGCCTTCTCGAGTCAATTTTTCATTTATCTGAACCAATTCAATTTCGGATCCAAATTGAAAAATTTCACGCGGCATCCTATTTTGGTCGCCTCATTTAACTACTACCCTTTTGCATTTTATTTTGTACGAACATTCTGTACTCCCTCCGTCCATTTTTATTCATCATTGTTTCCTTTTTTTAGAGTCAAATTATAAAAAAATTGACTAACATTTTATAATGTATCTTTTATCATATTGATATACAAAAAATTTCAATTTATAATATTTTTTCGTATAGTTTTTTAATATATCTAATTTAACTTTGAAAGTTACTCAAATTGACTTTCGAAAAGCACAATATGATAATTAAAAGTGGACGGAATGAATATTAATTAACTTCAGATTTTAAAAAATGTTATATTTGTGAATTTTATTTTGTTCCTATCGTGAATATGACATTCTTTTTTCAAAATATGCCTTCACTTCCCCAAAAACTTGTCCAAGTTACCAATTATATATGCATTCATATGATAAATCATGTCAATTGCACGTGTGATGTCGATTAATTTATAAATAATGTTGATTACAGCCCAACAATATGGTTTGTACTTTGTATACTTTTTTTTCCCTACTAATAAGTGGCCTAAATATTCTACTTCAAATAGCTACTCTTTACTTTTTCATAAATTCTTACTAAATAGGTATACTTGTATATATATTTAGATTTTATTTTACGTAATATAGAAAGTAAAGCAGAAAAGAATGGTTATTTATACGGCTCGTATGTATATATGTATAAGAAGAAAGAGCAATGCATACAAAAATTAACAATACCTAGATAAATAACAAAAATATTGAGTACTAATTAAACAAACAATTGTTTTATAGTGTTTTCTTTTTCAAATACATGTCATATATGAATTATTAGAATGTGAAACACACGTGACACATACAATTATATATTCACACTAATAATTATTAATTTTATAAAATGGAATTTTTCAACATATGTTGATTAGTAGGAACTATTAAAGATAATTAATGATGGGACATAGAACAGGTCAATTTGTTAGTAATTTATCAATTGTGGCTATCTTATTTATCTATTATATGTCAATAAAATACAGTGTCATCTTAAGAATAAAAAACATATTGTATCATTATCTACGACTAAGCAGATATATATAATCTTATGAGAAAATAACTGAGGAAGAAATATGCAAATAATTTAATTAGGCTGATTGAAACTACATGTATATCAAATTACTGTTGACCAATCTTATTATTTAAATCTTGATTTATTTAATGATAGGTGGATTCTTGACCAAACAAACATTAATTTTGTTAATCATACAACATAAGTAAGTAATACCCGATATATATAACTTAGAAATATGGAAGATGGGCATTTATTTTTTTAAAATGAGAGGCATGCACTTCTAGCCGGAATTATGGAAGACCAAATTACAGGTGGCCATAAAATCGAATATTTGATTCTTCAATTCCAATTCTTTGGTGGATTTTTAATTAAAATATTTAACTCTTTTAAAAGTTGATGCCGTATATTTATACGTTGAAGTTTTTCACGGTTTGGATATAAATCGATTCAAATCGAAAAATTGAACCAAACCGATAAAATAAAATCAATTTTATTTGGGTTTGGTTTTAGATTTTTGAAAACCGATAGTATTTGGTTTGGTTATGGTTTTATTCGAAAAAATCGAAGAAATAACCGAACCGAACCGATGAATTATATACATATATTTTATTAATATACATACTTAATATATTGTTTTTATAAACAATTTTAAAGATCTTATACATATTTTCATTAAAATTTCTTTATAATTTACTTATTGAAAGCAAAAATGCCCAAGATGAAACATTTATCTTATTGATTTCATGTATACGAGTGTCTATGACAATTCTTTGTGGGACTAAAAATGTTATTGTCTCTTCCTTCTAGACCAATATATAGTGAATTTTAAAGCTTTATTGATAGTAAATTTAGTGATCGAAAGTTCAGTAATTTAAGTCATTCTAACTAATTCTCGTTTTGAATGGATTGTTGTCACTATTTTCACATTTTGAATGAATTGTTTCTTTTATTTTTGGGAATGGTTAATAACCGAATAATCAAACCAAACCAAACCAAACCGAAACCGATAAATGTATATTATATTTGGTTTGGTTTGATTTTGATCATTTTAAAACCGATTAAGTTGGTTTGGTTTTGGTTTTGATCCAAACCGACCCGTGAATACCCCCTATGTTGGACTATAAATAACTTTGTTGTCTTTAGCTATTGTTGTTATTTTAACTGCTTCATAAAAAAAATTATTTGAGAATTAAAGTCCTCATTAAAAATAACATTAGAGAGGAAAGTGATTGAAAAATATTGTAGACTAGAGAAAGTCTTCAATCATAAATAGTTGATGCACGCTTTTATTGAGTGTTGATAGTGATAATAATTAATATGTATTGTGCAGAAGGATTAACTTTAAGTAATGAATTGATTGAACAAATCATAACTTTTGTGAAAGGCTATGAATTTCAATCTGAGGGTTCTTTTTCAAAAAAAATTAATTGCACCCATAAATTATAATATGACTCGATATTTCACCATCTTGATATATATCAATTGTAAGTGATCATAAAAAATATTTATTTATTTTTAATAGTTATTCAGTTTTTTCTATAAATATACTTATGTGAAACCTTTAATTTCATAAAGCAATAACAATTAAGAAAAAAAAAAGGTCAAGATTATACTCAACATGCATGCACGAAGGTTGATTTTTCATTTAAAAAATAAAATAAAAACCAAAGGCAATACTCCTGGGCAGAAATATGGAAGACGAAATTATTAATGGACATAAAAATATAAATATTCAGATCAAATTCTCTCATTTTTCGTAATTGAAAATTCAAGGTAAATTCAATTATTCATTTTGATTTTTCAAAAAAGAAACATTTTTTTTTTATTTTTAAGTCGTAGTATTCCGATTAATCGAAATAATAACTGAAATATCAAAATGATTAAAAAAAATGAATGTAGTGTATCGACCAGTTGAACTGTAAATGAATTGTTACCTTAGGTATGGTTATTTTTGTTGTTGCGTATAATTGTTGATTAGAGAAATTAGAATCATCATTAAAAAAAAAATGTTAAGAGTAAGTCCTCATAGTTGATGCACATTTTTATTGATTTCAAAAAGAAAAAATCACCCCACATATATATTTAAGAGACAATATTACGGGTTTTAAAGCTACTTTTAAAATATTTTTGCTTATAACAGTTTAATTACGGGTTATAACATATCACATTTTATTTCAAAATCAATTAAATTTTAACTTTATTAAATAAATAGTATTTTATTATTTTATATTTATTATTAAATGATATGAATAAATAATCTACCATAACTATCTTTAACACATTTATAGGAAATTTACCTTGATTCTTGTTCCTTTTTAACTTTTACACGTCAAACCCACACCCCTAATGTCATCACACCTCTTCTAGTCAGTAACCCACCACCCCTACGTTCAAAAAGTAAAATTTTCCGTTGTAACAATTACCCATTCCTCTTTCACCTCATCAATCATCTTCCATTCAAACTGTTTCTACATCTCAATATCACCTCCTAAATCATAAAATATTCAATCTACCATCAGAAAGAAAGGGCGATTTCACAATACTAAGAATCAAGTTTTCAAGATTTTCATTAAAACATATCGAAGAAACCAAAGCATACTTCTAGAAAGAGTCCCATATTAGTAGAAGCGAGTTCTACGATTGGAATAGAGCTTCTGACGTTTAACATATTCACTCAAACACCATCGCATAACAAGAATGCAACTCCAGCGAAAAAGGTTGGTACTTCTCAAAATAAGAAGCAGATTACAAGAAAGAAGAAGAAAACTCAGTTTATTTATGAAGGAGACTTCGAAAATTCCAATATAAAAAAAGGGCAAAAAAGTGATTAGGGTAAATATTTTATATAATTTATTTTCCAATTATTAAATTTAGTAGAATTTTTGTTATAACAGTTTATTTATGCATATTATTTGTGGCATGAATTTTGTTTTAATGTTTGACATAAAATTGTTGTGACATAAGCATACACATGTACATATAGTTACTATCATGGAATTGATATTAATTTGATTATTATTTTTATCAAAAAAGGTATGAAGCATGTTTAAGATTGGTATGAATCTGACTTAATATTGGTTTATGAATGTGGTATGCAATATGTTTACATTTGTATGAAACTTATTTAATTTTGGTATGAACTTGATATACCTTTTAGCAGGAAATTTATCATTCAAAATCTCTCATTATGTCTATGAATGTGGAATGAAACATGAATAATATTAGTATGAAAATGTCTTAATATTGGTTTAGGAATGTGGTATGCAGTATGTTTTAACATTGGTATGAAACTGATTTAATTTTGGTATAAAGTTGATACACCTTTTAGCAGTGAAGTTATTTTTCAAAATCTCTCATATCTGTATATGAATGTGGTATGAAACAAGAATAATATTGGTATGAAACTGTCTAAATATTTGTATGAAGTTTGTCATCTATCTAATATTTGTATATGAATGTGGTATGAAACATGAATAATATTAGTATGAAACTGTCTTAATACTTGAACTCTTGAAGTCATGCATCTGACAAATGTGCCTTAACAAGAGTCAAGTTCAAAGTATGTATTTTTATCTTTTAGTGATTTCATCATAAAAATTAATTCACTTTATTTCTTAAATTATTTTTCTTTCATTTTTGTTTCAGTGATTGTGGTATGTACACATGTTTATTTGCTGAATACATTTGCAATGGAGTTTCTAATATGGGTTCCATTGATATTGATGCAAAGTATCATCGTCAAAGGTACGCCACAATCATTTGGCAGTATGAAAAAACAA